CCTCAAAGAAAACACAATGCGTCTTTATCAAAACGATCAGCTGTTTAATGCTGAATAGGGAAATACTAGTTTTTCATTCTAAGAATCATAATAAACTCATACAAATAAGGACGAGAAAACCAGTCAGGATATCCGGTTTTCGGGCCGAGATTTGAAGCCGGGACCTCCCGAATACGAAGCAGGAGTTTTCCACCAGTTGAGCACGATGATCGGTTCCCCAGCCATCGTCATCATTTGGTGATATGCTCAAGCCCTGCAGACCGTCTTACGTGCCCGAATATTACGTCTTCATGAACCGGTCGACGAAGCCGAACTTATTTGGACAATTTTTTGGGAATATAAAAGCAACTGGGTTTAGCAAGGCAGCGAACCTTTGCTAACTATTAAAAATTATAAACCAGAAGTTGTACAGAAACTGAAACGGATCGACAGGGGACTGACTCCATGACTGCTAGACGACGCGGAGAAGTAGAAACCTATTACTTTGCTCACTGCGTAACTTGGCATTACAATTTTTAAAGAAATTTCCATTCAAAAGTACCAAAAATATCCTTGGTTTGGCCATTCAAAGTCCTGCGTTTCCTCGAAACAATTTGCGTAAGCGCACACAGCAAATTACTTACGTCACATAGTTATTTTTTATCTAATCACATTTGAGGCAGCCTTGACAAAAACAGGCACACGATCAGTCGGCGAAAGGCATTCATGTGGACGAACGGCTTTCGAATATGTAAGTATACCTGATTTGCTTCTTCTAAAACTAAGACTTTTTTCATAGCAAAAAATGTTCCTATGGCCAACATTTCAAAATAGTGCCGTGTCTCCATTTCGGCGCTGAAGGTCGGGGCTGTTCAAAGCTGGGCATCGGAAACACTGGAATCACCAGCACACAAACAGAAAGTCCGTGGCTTAGATCATGGGTTCATTTTGAGTAAGAAAATTCTAATTAACATGGCTTCGATCCGCAACGGTCTGTTAAGAAAATCAAAAATGACAAATATAATTCTAACGCATTTTTAATGTTTGTAATTTCATTACAATTTTCGGGAATTGTTTTTTATTTAGTGTTCTGTCTGACGACAGGTCCATATATTATGAACAGGATCCTTCCATCCTTTTCTCGGACTGCGACCTGTTCATATACGTTCTTGGCAGATGATCCAGAAGTGGTTTGCCATTGCCTTCTTCTGTGTGTGAATGGAGTAATTGTTGGGATGCCACGGAGGAAAACTCCGTGTTGCCTAGACCACGGCCTTGCCCAACACAAGTTATAAATTCGGGCACCGCCGGGAATCGAACCCGAGACCCCAGGATTACAAGGCCAGCGTTCTAACCGCTAGACCACCGTGCGGGAATACACAGCACTAAATTCTGAATTATCACACTTTTGCCTCGAAATGGCCACCATAATTGTCGAGGCATCTTTGAGCTCTTTCTGTAAGAGAATTGGCGGTCCTTATTGCAGCATCTTGGTATTTCTTGATGTAATCACCGCACTCTATTGTTTTCTCCACAAGCTGGGCCCTCGTGTCTGACTTAACAGCGTACACGAGAGATTTCATGCGCCCCCAGAGGAACTAATGTAAAGGTGACAGATCTGGTGATTGTTGTTAAACGCAGTCACTGCCCTGTCAAAGGGAGTACGTGTTCCGTCACATCCCTTGCCTGGAACGAAGAGGAACGTCTTCCTGTAGCAAACGCAAGTAACGCGGTCTTCAAACACGACCGGTCCGATGAGTAGGTTTCAAATCATACCACACCAAATGTTTACCGAGAACCGGGTTTGGAAATATGTTTCCTTGGTCGCACGTGGATTATCGTAGGACCACACACGTGTACAACGTCGCGGATCGGACCCATGTTAATTAGAAATTTTCTGCTCAAAATGATCCCAGGATCACGTATTTAAGTAATGGGCATCCTATTGCGGGACATCCTATACCGTATATCTGAAATTGCAGACAACTGTAATCACACGGGAGTTTCCTCTGTCATCTCTCTTTGACATGTTTCCTTCTGATCGAGTAATTGGCCTTCCGTTTTGAGCCAGCTTCAAGATCTTATGCCACTGAGGAAAACATCTCGCAGTCCCAACTGAGCGAGACCTGGCAAAGCGTTTTGGAAGGAGTGTCATCCATCTGCACCGAGTGCTCAAAGGAAGAGATCTCCAACAATTTCGTCTATTAGGAAAGGCAACTGAGACAAATGTAGAAAAAGATATACACGCTATTAAGTCGATAACATTATCGCACAATGTTATTAGAGATTTCAAGCTCCATTCCTTGGTTCGTACATAATTCGGCTTCAGCACTGCACAGTGTATATTGCAGTATTTTATAATATTAATCTTATGTGATCAGTTTCTACAAATAAATATGAATAAAAACGTTGGAAATACAATTTTAAGAAGTTCATTAAAGACTATCGGGTAACAAGCCACGACAGGTGGCCGAATGATGAATGAACCAGTTCTTCCGCCAACGTTTCGAGAGCCATCACTGCTCTCATCCTCAGGGCAGATGCGAAACGAAACTGGGAAGAAATGGTTCATTCACCATTCAGCCTGGATCCACCGATCATGGCCGCTAACCTCGTAGGGAGAGCCCAGTACGCGGACCACTCAATGAAGGAAGGAAGGAAGGAAGGAGTTTCCGTCGGTCAGTGCAGCAGTGTGGAAGCCTGATAATTCTTGTCTTGTGACTGTGCTCTGTTAACAACATGACACCTGCTCGTTGCAATCTCCTTTCTAGCCATTGACATTGCCTCTTATCACAACAGACAGACAGACAAACCACCGACGTCTTACACAAAGAAGGACGAAATGAAAGCCTGGTTATTGGAAATAAACATCCCATTTTGTGACGTGTTGAAAGCTCGACTGTTCGATTTAATCAAATTAAATAAATAAAAAGCACAAACATTATATGATTGATCAGATTTTGGCAGACAAAGAACGTCCTGTGCTGAGACTTCCCGATTTAAACCCCACTGAACTTATTTGGGCAGATGCAAAACAATGGGTTGCAAGCAAGAACACAGCATTTAAAATTAAGGACGTCGAGCGTCTGCGTCGCCAGAGATTCGAAGAAATTGGACAAGAGGAATGGGAGAATGCATGCAGCAAGAAGGCGTAATCGAAGACGATATTGAACGTATTTTAATTGCAGACAATGGAGTGGACAGCAACGGCGGTGGTGATGAATCGAGTGATGTCAGAAAGTTAAGGTCTGTGAGGGAGGAGTGGAAGATCTGGAGGAGGACCGACGAGTTCTGAAGAAGATAAAATCATCTAAGACTCTCTGCAGTGTTAATTTTCTAGTGGTGTGTAGTGAAATCGACTTTCCTGCGTTACATACCGTGGTGACATTTTATTTGGAGTGTACTGTACGCGGCCTGCTGCCATCCCTTCCAGCAATCTTCCGGTAAGTGACTCGCTCCGATGATCCAATTCACAAGGTTCAGAGGCCAAAAACGTTGGAATGCAGTATACGTAACGCTCGGTTCATTTTGTCAACTTTGCAATACGTTAGATGATGTTACAAGTTAGGTTAGGTTAGGTTTGATATTTCTGCGTCGCCACCCCCCGCATTCGATTGCTTACGTAGGACGATGGGTAACGGTGGCCATTTTGAACACCTATATTCGCCAACAAGTGCCAATGCTCACGTTTGACAAAGTTTGGTTTTTTTTTAAATGTATTTAATTCATTCATGGAATGTGTGTGTACACTTTCGGGGCATCCCGTATTTCCAATTGTCACCAAAGTACCGAGGCATATGTCCTAAAACCTTACGCCGATCGATATATATTGTTACTACGGAGGTGCAAGTCAAACGCCTACCGGGTGACTGATAATTTTCTTTCCGTAAACAAGCATGCTGTTAAGTCAGATTTGAGTTTTCACGGCGGTGAGTCTGAAGAGGAAGAAATTTACACACGTTTCAGAAGTCTTCGCTGCCTCCATCATCAGGGCGATGAGTAACTGCCCTGATGATTTAGGAAGCAAAGACATTATGAAACGGTGACAAACTTCTGGCAGACAGCAAAGACGTTGTAAAACGAGCTAGTCAGTCATCAGTTTTCTGGCGCGGAATTCCATGGCCTCGCGGAACACAGTTTGAGAACATGGAATAGCAGACCCTCCAGTGATCGTCGCTGTTTTTCCCACAGTTTCAAGTCACTTCATTAGACGAATCTCGACAATTGTCCTCGATTTAGGCGCATTTGCAACCCAGGCTCGTTTTCGTGGGCACTCAATGCCATTTCCATGACAATTAAGTACAAAATCAAGACTAAATTACGTATTCTTCCAATTTTCCATGACAATGTCATAACATAATGGTCGCCGTTAACAGGAGGAAATGCGTAACTATCGGATGGCACGAAAGGACACGGTCACCGTCATCCATCTCCACAGCGGATTTCTGTGCTGCATTCTGAACACAATAACATTGCTAGTCCGACATTCTGAAATCCACCTGACGTCACGTGGAATCCCCGCAAACGCTAAAGAGATTTTGATAAGTCTACGCCTAAAGTACATAACGTTGTATGTCCATTTTACATCGTGATCCATCCATCTATCACTTCTTCAACCAAATATGCGCTGACAACGCCGTGTAGTCTGGCGATGATTGTCCTGGTGACGTAGGCAGCCAAGTACCTACAAAACGTCGGTAAATTTATACCAAAATATACGGCGTTACAGGCCATAAGACAACCACCTTCAAAATTTCAACTGGAATCACAAATTAACTCCAGAGAAGGGAGTCCTTGAGAATCTAGTATTCATTCAGTCAGCCAAGAAATTAATAACCTTTCATGAAACGCGAAAGTGTTCACGAAATCCAGTCAATTGCCCCTGCCCTACGAGACCCCCCCCCCCCACCCATCACCAACGAAGCGACTAAAAAATAGTACACGTAGAAGTGTCTTAAGTGACTAGGTTCCGGATGAAACGGACAACGCCCAGGGAGGATGGGGTAGGGATAAATGGACGTCGAAGGCATGGCAAGTTCTTCTCGTTCTACGATTGGCTAAGCTGTGAAAATCGTCTCAACAAGAAACTGTTATGCAACAGTTTCACGATGCGATGCGCCTTTCTGTACAAACCAGAACACATCTCGCTTACGACAGTATAAGCAGAAGCGCTCGGCGCCTTAGTAGTGGCAGGACTCCAACAGTAGATCTCCACAATTCACGCAGTGTCTTCGTTGACGACTGAATCCAACCGGTTGAGATTTACAAGGCCAGACGTGACGTACGCTGTCAGGCATAAGAAAACCATACCCTTGCTCCAGAAATTCTTCATAAATACCTGGGACATCGGACTTCGTCGAGCAATTCGGCATTACAGCTCTATAGGTCTAGGTGGATGAACGGAAGGGGACGAACTGTCAAGATGTCAACTCTAACGTACTTACTCGAGGGAAATCACAAGCTCGTCAGAGGACCAGAAATAGGTAACAAGTATAAGTTCGGTAAAATGTTGGTTATGTATTGGTGGTCTAGCGGTTAGAACGCTGGCCTTGTAATCCTGGGGTCTCGGGTTCGATTCCCGGCGGTGCCCGAATTTATAACTTGTGTTGGGCAAGGCCGTGGTCTAGGCAACACGGAGTTTTCCTCCGTGGCATCCCAACAATTACTCCATTCACACACAGAAGAAGGCAATGGCAAACCACTTCTGGATCATCTGCCAAGAACGTATATGAACAGGTCCCAGTCCGAGAAAAGGATGGAAGGATCCTGTTCATATGGACCTGTCGTCAGACAGAACACTAAATAAATAACCCTGCGTTACAAAACAGAACAAAAACTTCGAACGTCTTCGGGTTACGTCTGAGCAACGAACGAAAAATAGTCCTTTGATTGACAAAGTCTGGTTACATGTATTGCCCCTTTAAAGCAGAGTGGTAAATATACGTACAAACCGCTTTAAAAATCAACTGTGCATTGTGTTTTATCATTCTCGGTGCAAACAGCGATCATTTCCTCAAACAGCGTAACCGATTGTACTTTGTAATGGTGAAGTGTTGTGTTTTCTTCGCGGTACGGGCCGAATTCTTAAATATTTACACGAGCTTAAGCTTCGAAAGATAATTCAATCGATCATTTGTTCGGTCAGTCGTAAAGAGTGTGTTTGCTTTACTGTATATAAAGGATTAAAGGTACGCGTACCCGTAAGTTTCGTCGGATCTTGTAAATATGCGCGGTACCCGTGTTACTTTAAATGACTGACGATTCACAAATAAGAAATTTCAGTTGTCCCACAACGACAACTCTCTCGTACTTCAAAGATCCCTCTCGCTCATAAAATCGAGAAAGCTAGCGAAACATTCTTTTCGTTATCAAAAATTAAAAACGCAAATTTGACGTCTGCGTTGACTCCTGTTTCACAGCGTCACTTGACTTCCCGTGTCAAATTTAAATCTGTAATGACAAACACTTCATTCGAGTTACCTGTTATTAACTGATGTCCTGAATGCTTCTTAACTTTTGAAGCCCAATCTATAACTGTATTTTGTATTTATTTGTGTGTTCCATACGATTCTCACTGTAAATCAGCTATTATTTCCCTGAACAGCATTCACGAACCGCTCAGGTGGAAACTGTATTTTTCAAAATTACTTGTTAGACGAGCTTCGTGCTTCAAAGGATTAGACTCCAACCGCGTGGTCGCATTGTTTTTAATGTTAATGTTCTATTTCAGATAAAATGGTCAACGATTGGTTCTTGATGAGCAATCCAGCCACCATGTTGTTTATCGTGGCCTGTTATCTGTTGTTCGTCCTAAAGGTAGGGCCCAAACTGATGGCCTCACGCAAGCCCTTCAACCTGCAAGTGCTTATGGTGGTCTACAACTTCGCAATGGTTCTCGTAAGCCTATACATTTCTCTGCTGGTGAGTCCTGTACAACAGTTATGGACCATTGTGTCTTTCTGCGTCTTTCGCGAAATATTTTGCATGCGATATGCAAAATAAACTCACAAGAAAACAAGCAACACATCCCAAGAGTTGGTTTTAACCCTCTAAAACCGAAAGAGAGAGAGAGAGAGAGAAGAGAAAGTGAGGGGGTAGCGATGGCCAATATTATTTTACCTGGGGGGGGGGGGGATTTTTTATTTACGGCTGCCAAGATACCCAGGCATTGCCCGCTCGTCCTTCTGGTAGAAATAGGTTCAGTGAGGGCAAAGCACTTGGCAGTGGAGAACGTGGGATGAAACGTAGAGCAGGGGAGAAGCCAAGGAGGGTCTTACTGGGTTCGTGCACAATTTTGAATTTTGATGTTAGCCTTGGACGGGCGACGTTTAGTAAAACTTTTCTTTTTGGTGAATTTTGATGTTGGCACTCGGAGGGCTGCATGAGAGGTATTCAGAGCAACGTGGAATTTGGGTACCAACTCAGCATTTGCTCTGGGACTGAGGAAAACCACGGAAAACCTTGATCG